TAGCAACAATAAGATTATTATTTTGACTATTCGTATTTACTCACATGAGGTACATTCGACGAAAAATGTTTATTTGGATATTCAATATAATATCATCAAGATATTCTGTTCAACAAACACAATTGGCCATAGAAATATAAACCATAGTAATATTTAAATTTTTAAAAGCCAAACAAAACGTGATAAATATGCCATGGGAGCCATATAACTAAACCTATTCGTAAAAACTAAAATTCAACTTGGAAACGGTTCATTTTTGGCCTTTAAAATGTAGAATATACCTTTAGTTTGTTCCGTACAAAAAAACAAAATTTTACTTTTTTTGACGGAGTAAACTATCCACTACAAGATTACTGGTTAATAGTAAATTTCGATTATGACTGCATAAATATGGAGATAAGAAATAAGGAGGATTTTGTCGTTGGGTTCTCCGTTCCATTATTCAATTACGTTAACCCCTCACACTATTAGTAGAAGCTGATTTTTTATTTTTCTAATTTATACATCATTGCTTTATAAAATAATTGTATAAACCAACAAAATGTAAAGAAAATTATACTTTATTTCCACATTATTTTCAATAAATAAACTTTTATTATATAATTGCAAATTTTCAAAAAATAACAAACTAATAATATTGCCCTATAGTTTTCGGTGCTTAATTTAACAATTAGTTTTCTATTGAACAATTTGATTGAATTTTTGAAATTTCATTTATGATAATATGAAATGGATTAAATTTTATATGAGTTTCATTTCTAATAATTCCCAGCGGTTTTAAAAAACGAAATAATTTTAGAAGAAAAAAAATTGAATATCGCATGACACATGTATTTTATCTAAAACCTCGTATTTAATTTAGAAGTATAATATGTCCTATAAATTACGATTTTTTTCCCCACAATATTTATAAAAACCCAAGTAATTTTTCATGTGCAGAGAAAAATAGTAATTAGCTAATACATTTATGCTTATATTATAAGCGGTGGAAAATTATGTTCACATTACAATGGATGTAGTATATACATTTATTCTCAAGCAGCTTTTATTTAAATATAGCGATGAATTCTACCTTAACTTCTCTCTTACATCAAGTGTATTTGAATAATACATGTTGGGTCCCGTGAGTTATATTATTTACTTTTGTTATCCACAACTCAAAAACTTATATAATTTTCCGTATGAATGAATGCATATCAAAAATCTAAATGAAATCATGTATATGATTGAAAAGTCTTTCAATAACATAATGAAGAATGTTCTAAAAGTATTAAATATGGCCTAACCTTTAAATAATATCATTCGAACATACGATGTGACTTCTTGAATCTGGAACGAACTTGAAACACGCCAACATTTGAAACCACTTTACCAATAAACCCGGTCAAAACCTCGAATGAGATTTGCTAAGAATGAGAGTTGTCAATAAATAAATATGTTCTTAATAGGTTAAAATTCATACAACTTCTACATTTCTATTTGATCTCATTCCAATCAATTAGTAATTCATGTTATCTGGAAATCCAAGAAGTCTGATTATACATAAGATGTTCAAAATATCTCCGAAGCCAGACATTTTTGTTTAGTTAATTTTCTAATTTAGGTATGTATTATAGATGTCAAACTATATCAACTGATTTCATCAAGTGATTCAATAGAAAAAGAAATCATGGCATAATTCACAAAATACATTTAAAATGGAGCATCCTTTTAGACTTATTCAAAATCAACTTTTTACACAGTTTAAATTGAACTTGTTCTGTGGTATAATATGTTAATGTTTACAAATAATCAATGATCATTGACTCATAATCGATTGGAAAAGATAAGTTAAAACCCCTTTTTGGAGATTCAGACAGATTTTAGTAAAACGCCTGCAACAGATTTAGTCATGACAACTCCTTGTTAACCAATGAAGAGGTTGGGCCTAGTAGAAGATTTGCATTTCTTGTTGGCTGGCTAACCTTGCCGAGCGGCCAGGGAGCTGTAATGGGAGGATCTGGCATCTATTCGAGACAGGGGACACCCTGAATAGTAAGAGCACCGTGAGACGTGATTAGGCCCGCGAATGAGGAAGTAGTTGGCTAAAAAGAAGAATTTACAAGAAGAGAAAATAGAAGATCGGGGTAGGAGAGATGAGAAGCCCAAGATACAGCAATCTGGAAAAAATCCTCAACGGCCTTGGAAGAGTCTGGTCGGTCCGCTAGGTAGCCGGTGACGTCATTATCCTCCACTCTCTTGAGGCTCTTTGCCCTAGCCATCTACCTCTTTGTTAACTCCCCAACATCTACCTCTTTCCAATAAGTAAACAGATGTTAATGATATCTTTGAATGCAGTAATGATAGAAATTATTTTTAGTTAGAAAAAAGCATTTCATTGTATATTGCATACAGTTAATGACGACTAATTTGTTATTCATTTATAATACATTACATAACAGCAACGTTTATTGGAAATCGGCTCTCACAACTATTGTTCTCAACTATCCTTGGATTTATTCAAAATAAACAATTTTATAGTTAATTGACAGTTTTAATTTTTAATTTCTCAGTGGTAGAAACCATTGAGAATAAATGATTAAGTATATAAAACCAAAAGTTAATTTTTTTTCTGCCGCCCAAAGGCTTGGCAGGTAATAGTACCGCCCCCTCCAGCAACTCCTACCTCCAAAAACAATTATTGCTTTATAGTAACTACTACAAAGTTGAAAGTAAGTGGACGTGACTTTAATATTTATGCGTATTTAATTGTGTTTTTTGCTTACTCTGCCGCATGCAAGCCTAGTTTGTTCACACTGGCAGCGATTGAATTCGAGTGCGGCTTTCAATACTTAATGGTAACTCGAAAATATAGACATTTGTATCGTATTTGTAGTAATTATCTGGATATTTTCTTATCCAATGATATAACAATGTTTTAACATTATATATATATATATATATATATATATGTATATATATATATATATATATATATATATATATATATATATATATATATATATATATATATATGTATATATATATACACTAATAGATTCGTCGAAATGCATTTGCGATATCTTATTTCTCACTTTTTAACATGAATCGATTGGGATGTTGCAGTAGTAGAAGAATTTTTCTATACATTAAAGTCTCTTGCCTGGTGTTTATCTATGGTCCAAACAGGAGACATATGGATGTGATAGGTCTGGACACCAAATTCATATTTTGAAATTATTACTTATTTTCGCCATCTTACATCTTATGTTAGTTCTCTATGTTTTCTACAACAGTAAATGTTCAAAGCATAATTCATTTTTTTTAAATAATTTTCAAACCATGCTCACTTCATGAATGCTCAGAAGGGGTTTTATAGCGCAATTTTTTGAGGACGACATTTCGATGAGTATATAAATTTTTGGAATGAAATGATTCCAACCAAAAGACAAGGGAAAGAATAGGACAGATCGCAGGAAGTGTAATCATATATCATGTGAGATGTTTCTTATTATATTTTAGCATGCACTGTTTTGTTGGAAGAGTTAAGCAATAAAATATGTTGGGAGGGAGGAGATTTGCCATTGACCTTGAGAGAGGAAAGATGGACACCCCTCATGCTCACATTAATTCGTTTGTCAATCGTCAATCATATCGTCATATTCATATTGCATAAAAACATAAAATTTTCATTGAGTAGCAATAATTATATCGGTTTAATAATTATAAATAATCCAACCTTCCCTGTTAAAAAGAACCGGATTTTTCGGTTCTATGTTATAAATTTGGTTTACTTGTATTTGGGATCTACTGGATTCATTTACGCAACCTTTACATTTTTTAAGGAAGTTTCAAATCTTATTAATATATATATATATATATATATATATATATATATTTTACTATTATACTAAATTTCTATCTCGAAATTAAATTTTACTCTCACAAAGTTCAGTTCTGGAAAATCCAAGTTAAATTCACAGATTAAAATATTTACGAAAGTGTTGAAAATTAACTGTTTTCATTTTTTTTTCTTCTAACGCCACTTCTATATTTCATATCTTTATTCAATTGACAACAATAGTGTACTTAGGTGTGAATGTGTTTTATTTAGTTTATTATCATTCGGCTTTAATGTGTTATTTTATTTATCTTGTATATTACTTTATCTTTTTATTTATGTATATATATCTTTACTTTTTTTTTTCATACTTGGTTATTTTTATTTATTTTCCTTTCTTATGTACATGTTGTGTGAATGAATACTATAGCCCTAGTACCAATGCCCTTCAATGTGGCAGACTGTATTAATACTAAATAAAAAAAATTACAACAAAATAAAAAACAAACCAAAAAAGTCGGATCTAGTCCTATTTAAACAAGTTAAGATGAACTTTGAATGTATTAATATAATGAATTAAACGATAAATATGATTTTTGCGTGTTCACAACTATACACACTATGGATTTTCATAATTCGATTTTGCACAATTCGACTTATAGAGCTTTGTGATTCTTGAGACGAATTTTAAATAAATAGATTTGAATTTGAATCAAAAATATAGTTTTACATATTATTCTTGAATAGATAAAAATTGTACACAAAATATCTATAAATATTAGTTTTGAGCAATTTGAAAATAAACTCATTTATATTTAAAATGCCTGGTGCTTGTCAACAACAGTAGTTTTTGTATATACATTTGTAGAATGCACGTTCGTTTTAAATAAATTATGAAGATCGAAGAAATCCACTGGAACATGTTGACGAGAATTAAGAGAAAAACTGAATTTTTATATATATATATAAAAAAAGAAGTATTTTATTCATAATTAATAGAAAGTTATGAGATACGATACACTAAACCATCTCTATTTGAGGTAAATTCAAACAGATGAAAGAAAAAAGACTTCGAATTAATAATAACAGATGAGAATTATAATAAAATATCCGATCAACTTAACTAACTTTATAACATTTTTTTGTAAATTACTCTAGTAGACATAGATAAAATCGATACCTTGGTTGACGGACTAGACACAGCCTCAATCACTGAAACCCAACTGCACAGTAAGAACTGAATGAGAGGGAGGGATGTAGAAGGAGGGGAGTGGCATGATAGTTTTTTCTCCCCTCCTCAAAAAAATTAATTTATTACCTAATAACTTATTTAGGATTCAAACATGGTTACTAACTAGGTGTCTGTACCTAACTACCTGAAAACAAGGTTATTTGTATCCATAAAGACAAAACAGACATAAAATAAATAAAATTCTGATTGGACACAAAATATTTCGTGGACGGTAGAAACTGTAAACTAATGAAAATTTACACAGTCTCAGAGTCAACACAGTCAACCCCTTATCAAAAATTTAAATTTTTCAAAAATTTAATAATCAAAAGTTTATATATTTTCACTTTAAGGGATCGATATTAATTATATTTTACCTTGTATTTTCGATTTTTTTTTTCTCTTTGCTGATTTATCATTATTTATGGTTTAGTAGATTTTTCAATTTTAATTTTTTTTTTTATACTGTTGTATGTTTTTCCTCCCTCTTATTAATTTATTTTTCAATTTTGTCATAATACATCATGGCTCATCTGTTCCCTCCCAAGATATTTTATTGTTTATCTCTTCTTAAATACAGTGCAAGCGAAAGTAGAATTAGAAAAATCGTAGATTATATACAATTGAGTGTAGAAAAAGTCAATTTTAATTTAATTGGTTCAACTAAAACTATTGCTGATGACTTAACAACGTTCAAGTTGAATCATAAAAAACAATCATAAAATATAGTTTTGAATTGAAGCTATGTTACAAACATTTGCTTTTTCTCAGATTTTTAAAAATGAAAAATGTCTGTTTTTGATATGAAGTCACCCAATTGCACTTCCTACGGTCTGTCCTCTTGTCTTTTGGTTTGAATAATTTCCTTTCGAAAATTCAATGATCGATCGAAATGTGCCCCCTCAAAAATTTTGATGGCACAACTTGGGCCATGAAACCCTCTTTCAAGCTCACCAGAATAGTTTTATTTATTTTTATTGATTAACTTTAATTAATATTGATTTAATTTTATATATCATTTCCTGTTAGTTCAAGATTATTTATTTTTTAGCAAATATAGAATAGGATTAAATTACCTCATTGATTTTTTAAATACCTTTTCTTATTGATTTTATCAAGACAATCAGATACAATTCTTTCGTATTTCACAGATTTTAACCCATAAATTTTTTTTTTAGGCCAATTATTTTTACTCTTGGTCAGGAAAATACATTACTATTTCTGGGAACTTTTATGTTACAAGGAGAATCAATTATCTTCAGCAGGTTAGTTATAAACTATGCTAGATCTCGTCGATCGAAAAATCATTGCGATTCTTCGTATTGGTTTTTTAGAAACCATATTTTTTTCCTGAATATTCTGCGGAATTATTTCTTCCCATAAATATTTAAGTTCCTCCCCTCCATATGTGTTACGAAACAAGTCAGATAACCTACTTTCCAGAAAGAACAAATCTACTTCCAGTGAAAATTTCTTTTTCTTCTTCGAAAGAATCCTTGAAAGAGCGTCTTTCAGGATCTTTATCATAAGCAAACGCTGTGTTTTTTGTTTTTTTTTTCTTCCTGATCAAACCTGAGTGATCGATGAAATAAACGTTTTACGATCACCTTTAAGGATCCATAGTTCTGACCTTTGCTTACGTATTTAGAGCCATTCAATTATATTATGTTAAGTGATCTATTAGAAATACAACGCAAAATGCTGGTATTTAAAGTAACAAGGCCGGCCTTATAAGATTTCTTATCTATTTTCATTAATCATGGAACCAAGGAATTGTAAATACCTAAATATTCGTCATTTACAGCGAAATTCAAATGTGGAAAGTCATAATACAGGCTACTGTATTTTCAAAATTCTTGAAAAGTGGAATTACGGTTCTTTATTTGTAATAGGCCTGTTACTATACCATACTAGCACCCCTTTTATCTCAAGGATATTATTCTAATAAAAGTTCCTTTTCACCATTACTAGGCAAATAAACAGGATGATGCCTCCCGCACAGATTAGAAAGATGAATATTAACCGTGACGTTGGCAGGAAATAACATCATAAATTGGCGCCAGCGTGATTTGAAAGAAACCTGAATGTATCGAAAATCACAGAAGCTATGGGACGTTCACCTCGATGGATCCAATGATTATGTTTTGAAATTTGGCGCTGATTATGAACCAGCTGAAGGACCGAGAAACTGGTTCTGGTTTCTCTCTCATGGACAACCGATCTCGTATTCGAAATCAGCAGATTCTTGCGACAAGAAGGGTACCTGCGTATTCGCCATCGTTTCGTAATCACTAGCTACCTATTGACGTAGGTTTTATAAAAATTATACTAATCCGTTATGATTGTAGCGAGTGGGTATCTTTAATAAACTGGTTTTCATTTTTACGGCGTGTTTCCCACCGACGGTCAAATATATTCAGGAGGCTGTTCAGGTTTTTTCCGCGGACCAGAACCCACTTAGTATTCGCAAATTAATTTTTTTTTAAATTCCTACTGTTGTACATTTTTCAGTACAAAAAATTATTTAGCTTCTAGACTTCAGTATTGATCAGAAGAGGGTTGTGTGGCGCAAGTTATGGGCAGACTTCGACGAGGTATTTGACTTTTGAGGGACGAATATTTAGGTATGTATTTACGAGTTTATTAATTTTTGGATAAAAGTGTACTTCTATTAGATTTTTATTGAGAAGAACTTTTAAACCAAGGAACAAAGGGAAAAACTTATGTACAGTTTTTAATTTACACTGTTTTTATGAAGAGGAGAACAATAAATGTTTTTGGGCAAATGAATGCGCCATCATCCTTTAGAAAAGATAGACTCCAATCCTCAAAATCATACAAAACGGATTCGATAACAAATAACAGTTCTTTTTTTCGTCTAATGCATACTTGCATTAAATAACATAAATTGCATTGATTGTATACTTACGTCAAATAGTTTTTTCCCAACATACAGTTTCGCAACAAATTATATTTATTCCATCATACTTAAAAACCCGAGTTTCAACAAATGCAAGGTTAAATAGATTTAATATGAATATAGTGGGATCAGTAAGAAAAATTAAATAGCTGGATCTTCGTAGAGATAAATTGGTGCAAGTAAAATTTGCCGTAAGTTGTGCTTATTAATGATAGCGACGAAATTTTTACTATAACAATAAAATGCGTCTTTGGTATTGTAACTTTGTAAGTGTGTACGCTGCCAGTCGACTGGGCTATAGAAAGAAAAATTAGACTCATTTAACGAGAGATTTCTGGCGGAAATGGTATTACTACGACATTTAACTAGGAATTGATTGTCTCTGTGCATGGTAATATACATACTATAAACTTAATCGTTATAATTATTGATAGTCTACAGTTCTTCTCTGAAAAAAATTTTCAATCTCAATCGAAACGGTTTCATGGAGTTTGTTCCTTTGAGATAATTCCTAGATGTACTTCTGCTAAAAAAAAAATCACAAATATCTTTTAAGAATGGAAAAGTTGGATGAGCAAAACATGTATTAAAACTCGTCTTTATGGAGCTCCATCCGTTGCTCCAATACCTCCTCATCTTTAGATCCCGCCTATTCATTCACTTTCTATCCATATAAGTCTCTACATACTATAAATAAACATCTCCGTATATACGTATATAAATTATTAGTTTGTTTTTAATTATTATTATTCCGCGTTAATTTTAATTAGTTTTTTTTTAATTGCCTAACGTTAGAAGTTAACTTGTAATTTTGAATATATCTATTTGTTTATTTTGTTATTCTTTTTTATACAGCACTGAAGCTCTAAAGCCCACAATTCAGTGCACATTTCTGATTGTATTTTATTCAACAGGAACAAATAAATGAATCATATTATTATTTAAAATGTTGAATAAAGAACATTCTTTTTGAAATCAGATAAAATTATTAAGAAAGTCTTGATTAGAATACAAAATAATTAATATAAATAAATGATCAACTTCACCGATGTTGTAGATTTACATTACTATTGTAGACTAACAGTGTATGGTTTAGAATACTTCTATCGTTAGAGATCATTTGGTCTCCTCAACTCCTCTCTCAGTTTTTACCAATTTTATAGCGGAATCTCTCTGATTATTCACGTGATACAGTTAAAGTGTATATCAGAGCAGTTGATATTTACTGTTGGCATCTTTTTTTTTTTTGTTATTTTAAGAAAAAAAAAAAAAAAAAAAAAAAAAAAAAATTTTTTTTTTTCTTTTTTTTTTATTTATTTATTTATTTTTCTCTTATGATATGCGGTATGATCAGCAAGTGATGGCCAGTAAGGTGCCCAAGAGGTCTCGGTCAGACGGAGTTAGCTCACCAGCCAAACAAAGGACTCGTCGCTGCCTACGAGAAATACCTCCAGTGACCAAAATGAACACTTCAGAACCAGAACCTCAGCCCCAACCAGGTACGTCTGCACAAGAAACGATTGAAGAATCACCTTTCTTTACTCCAAACCCCTACCAAGTGCTTCAAAATGACAAAGAAGTAATGGAGTCTGCAGCAATACCCAGAGAACCAAAGCCTCCTCCGATATTTGTGAAAAATATAAAAAATTTCCAGATGTTCTGCACCCAACTAAATAAAATCTGCTCTGGCAGTTATTCATGCCTTAACAGGACCAATGACACCAAGATAACACCTGATTCTGCAGAAGCCTACCGAAAAATAGTGAAGTACTTATCAGAAACAAATGCGAATTTTCACACTTACCAGCTGAGGCAGGAAAGAGCTTTACGAGTGGTGATAAGAAATTTACATTCCTCAACCCCCACTGAAGTTATTAAAGAAGAACTAACGACGCTTGGTTTCAATGTACGCCAGGTAACAAACGTTTTGAAGGAGGACAGGGAGCAGCCAGGATTACGAAATAGGATCCCACTACCATTGTTTTTCGTGGACTTGGAGCCATCACCAGGTATCGAAAAAATATATGATATCACAAGAATATACTATACAATGGTGAAAGTTGAGAAGCCATATCCCA